CCCCTAGGCGCCCGTTCCAGCTTTGTTGCCGCGTGCTGTGGCCTTCAGCAGGCCGCTCCCTTCTCTGCGCACTGTCTCTAGTCAGAACAACGAAGGGTTTGCCCGGCTCCTGGAGTCTTCCTAGGCTGATGCCCAGAGTAAACAGAGCTGCAGCCCCACCCCGCCTCCAGCCAGACCTGGGCACGGTTCCGTGGGCCCAGCTGCCCTGGTTCTGGGCTCGGCTTTGGGGCCAGAGGGCACCTTCCGTGCGCCCGCCACCTCCGAGGTCATGGCCCCTCCATGCCAGACTTTGAGCAAGACAGACTCATCCCAGCCCCAGAAGAGCTCCCAGTACACAGAGGGAGGTGGTGAGTGGACAAGATTGCAAATAAATTACTAACCTAAAAATAAAAGGGCCTTTCAAAGTAAGAGGCAATAAACATTTACTGAGTTCAAAAGAACAGCTATTTGAGATGCTCTGATTCAAGCAGAATCCCCAAAAATGTTCTTATTAAGACACAAAGGCAGCCCGGCCGGGCGTGGCTCAGCGGTTGAGTGCCAACCTAGGATCCAGGCGTCCGGGTTCAATTCCCGGTCAGGGCACACGCATGCAGGGGGCAGCCGATCAATGACTGTCTCGTTGTTGATGTTTCTATCTCTCTCTCTCCCTCTCCTTTCCTCTCTCTGAAATCAATAAAGATATATTTAAAAAAAAAAAAAGACACAAAGGCAGGGGGTTATTTATGAGAAAGGGGAGGGGAACAATGACATCCGTAGAAGGAAGGCATTTCTATTGGTGCAGGCAACACAGTGGTGTTAATTCTAAACAATGTTTTTAATTTTCAGTCGGGTAGTCATTAGCCCAGTAATCATAATTGCTTTCTTGTTATCTTTGCGGTTTTTCGGGAAACAAAGTGCTTAGGCCCAGTCCAAAGGTTATTTTGTCATTTTTAACCTTCCAAGGTTTAAGCATAAGAGGTGCAAAGCAGTTCCTCTGGCATGGCAGCTCCACCTCCATTTTAAAGCAGCTGTTAATATTATTGTTAACAAAATAAATATTAAGAAAATACAGCAAGGTGAGGGGATAGAGTGATTGGATAATCAGGGGGGCCTCTGTGGGGAGGTAGCATCTGAGTAGAGACATCTGAGTCAGCCAGCAGGTCATCTTGAGGGAGGGCACTCTAGGCAACCGGGACAGCTAGTGCAAAGGCCCTGAGGCAAGTCTGGGCTTGATGTATCTGAGCACAGTGAGGCTGAAGCTCAGGGAGCAAGTGGAAGAGTGGTGGGTGCGGCAGTCACAGAGGACCAGCTGGTCTGAGCATTTTGGGGGCACCATCAGGAGGCTTAGACAGGGGGAGGTGTGAGCCACAGCAGGATTCTGTGGAGGAGAGGCTGAGCTGATATTTAACAAGAAGTCTGCCTTCCCTGACCTCCAGGAGGGAACTCACCAAATCCTCCCTTAGGGGCATCCACCCCACTCTAGACCAGGCTTGAATGTCGCAGTGTTTACCGTGCCTGATGAGGGTGCTCTCACAGCAAAGACCACAGGTCTCCGTCCTCAGTCAGTCCAGAGATTCCTTAGCCCCAGGTCTGGGACATGCACCCAACCCCTGACGTCTGGAGAGCAATGAAGACACCTAAGCTAGGCAAAGGTCCCAGTCCAGCCCCTGCAGCTGGGACCTCCCCCTAACAGCCTAGGGACAGGGAAAAGGGCCCTGCCACTTGGGCAGGCACATAGTGAGAGCCTTCGCTGAGGGCTGGACAGGTACTTTGTAAATGTCAAATTGACCTGCACACTGGCTTCCCCCACTTGGATGCCTGGACGCCCTTTGTAAAAGCAGAAGGGTCCATTAAATAATAACTGAACCTGTAAACAACCAGTGTTTGACTAATGTGGAGAGGAACCTGCAAACTCTGAATGTCTTCTAATCTGGCCATTGCTCGGCAAACTGTAAACTGCTTGGTAAACTATAAAGTGCTTTTTAATCCTGTAGAGGGCTTTGCAAACTGTAAATTACTTTGTAAATTGTGTCCTGTAAACAGCTTTGGGCTTTTCAAACTCCGACATCATGTGCCAACTGTAGGGTTCTCTGTAAACTGTAGTGATTTGCCAACTGTAGAGGACTGTGCACCCATGAGTACCTGTGGATGAGACCTCCCACCGTCGCCCTACATCAGCAGAGCTCCCAACGGGGCCTATGCATGGAGGTGGGAGGACAGGATGTGCACACGGGCGGGCCAGTCATTTTAAGGCGCAAGGGCAGAAAACAGCTGAGCTGTGGGAGCCCCAGAGCGGGACCCTGGCCCATCTGAAGACTCTGCCTCTAGGAGCCAGGGAAAGTGGCAGCAGGAGGGTAAGAGCGGTCAGATGGCATGTTCGCAGAATTCTAGGGACATGGGGTCAAAGTCGGGGTTCTGGTGCCTCCTGGGGGCTGCAAGAGGAAGGACTGGGACTGTGCCCCTAGGACTGAAACATGGCTGGCCCCGAGTCCAGGGGCGGGACGCGTGCGCTCACACACACAGGCACGCCCGCCTGCGCTCACGCACACCAGCACGCCCGCCTGCGCTCACGCACACTCCCCGGCACACCCGCCTGCGCTCACACACACCAGCTCATCCGCCTGTGCTCACACACAACACACACTAGCACATCCGCATGCGTGTGCACACACAAGGTTTTGGGATTCATTCACTCCTTCATGCTTCATTTTATCCATTCATTCAACAAAGGTTGAGGTTTCCTGAGCACACAGTGGCAGGTCAAATATGCCCAGATGAAGCAGATAAAAATAATCTAGACTGGCTGGGCCAGATGGGGGGGGATCTCCCTGAGAAAGTGACATGGGAGACCAGGATTGGAAGGGGGTTCCAGGCAGGGGGTTTTGTCATTGCAAAGACCCCAAAGTGAGAACATGCCTTCATCATGGAGGGAGGGGCACAAAAGCACCTTGAAATTGCTAAATGCTGTGCCAGGTAAGGGTTAATAGGCAGAGATCTGTCCCCAGACTGAGGGCTATTTGGGGACAGGCTGAGCTAAGGATGGGAGCAGTGGTGGACTGAGGTAGAGGGGAGTGAACCTGGAGAAGATGCCCCGATTTCCCTTGGAGGACTGGGGAGACCCTGTTCTCAGATTCTGAGATGTGGGTGGGTTGACTCTCCTCCTGGCTTGTAACTGGATTGGGGAAGAGCACATGACCCCTTCCCACTGAATAAGCCAGACCTGGGACTTCAGCTGGAGCTCTGGGCCCCTTTGCTAAAATGGTAGAAGCCACTGGGTCCTGACTTATCCCCATGAGGGGAGTGTGGAACTGAGAGAAAACAGCTAAGACGGACACAAGTTCTAATAAGGATATTAACCACGCTCCTGGATCCGACTGTGCCTGAAGCCACATACAGTTCTGCTTACATGAGCAAGTAAACTCCCTTCCTGAAGACTGATGAACAGTTTCTGCCCCAGCCCAGGCTTCAAGGATCAAAGAGCCAGACTGGGCCCTGGCAAAAAGGCCTTCCTTGAGTTGCCCCCACTCCCAAGAGCCTTCTCCAGGGGACCACTACCTGTCTCCAAGCCTGTTTCTCCAACATACAAGCTGTGTGGCTTTGGGCAAGTTACTTCAGATCTCTGGGCCTGTTTTCTCATCTGTAAACTGGGGATGACAACATTAATAACCCAAGTCAGTAACATAACTCTCTCAATGAGGCAAAAACGTCAAGGCCTGGGACCAGCACCTGCTCAACACACTGCATCAAGCCAAGCCCTCTTCCCAGACAGTGGGCCAGGTGGCCCCACTAGTGGTTGGGCCTGTGTCTGTTGCTCTGCCCAGCATCCAGCACAGAGCCTGGCTCCTCACCACAGCCCTCTGGGAGCCTCGGTGCCCTCATATGTGGAAGTGCAGGTCCCTGGCAGGTCAGCAAGCCCTGACTCCCTTGACCACACTGCCCCCCCCCCCC